CAAATTGGGAAAGGAGTACATCAAGGCTGTATATTGTCACCCTGCTTATTTAACTTATATGCAGAGTACATCATGTGAAATGCCAGACTGGATGAAGCACAAGCTGGAATCAAGATTTCTGGGAGAAATATCAATAACCTTAGATATGCAGATGACACCACACTTAAGGGAGAAAGCGAAGAACTAAAGAGCCTCTTGATGAAAGTGAAAGAGGAGAGTGAAAAGCCTGGCTTAAAACTCAACATTCGGAAAACTAAGATCATGGCATCCAGTCCCATCACTTCATGGGAAATAGATGGGGAAACAATGGCAACAGTGAGAGATTTTATTTTGGGGGGACTCCAAAATCACCACAGATGGTGATTGCAGCCATGAAATTAAAAGACACTTGCTCCTTGGAAGAAAAGTTATGAGCAATCTAGACAGCATATTAAAAAGCAGAGACATTACTTTGCCAACAAAGGTCCATCTAGTCAAAGCTATGGTTTTTCCAGTAGTCATGTATGAATGTGAGAGTTGGACTATAAAGAAAGCTGAGCACTGAGGAATTGATGCTTTTGAACTGCGGTGTTGGAGAAGACTCTTGAGAGTCCTTGGACTGCAAGGAGATCCAGCCAGTCCATCCTAAAGGAAATCAGTCCTGAAGTCATGTGAAGGACTGATGTTGAAGCTGGAACTCCAATACTTTGGCCCCCCGAGTCAAAGAAATGACTCATTTGAACAGACCCTGACGCTGGGAAAGATTGAAGGTGGGAGAAGGGGACGATAGAAGATGAGGTGGTTGGATGGCATCACTGACTCAGTGAGTTTGAGTAAGCTCCAGGAATTGGTGATGGACAGGGAAGCCTGGTGTGCTGCAGTCCGTGGTATTGCAAAGAGTCGGACATGACTGGGCGACTGAACTGAACTGAACCATTCTCCGTGTAGTAGCTAGAGTGATTCTCTTAAAATCTACATCATGATGATAATGTGTAAAACATTGGCCTGTACAACGTACCCACCCTATCTCATCTTCTCCTTCATCCCCTCCTCCCTGGCCATGCTGGCTGGCCTCTTGGCTGGATAGTCTTAAACCTTGTTGAACATGTTTCTGCCCTCAGCCTGGAATGCTCTTCACCTAGATACTCAAATGGCTTGCTTTCCTTCAGGCTCTGCTTTGTCACCTTATCAAAGAGGTTTTCCTGATCGCCTGATATTAAATAGGTTTTCCCCTCCGTCCGTCTAGCACTCTTCATCTCCCATGTTGTTTAGTTTTTCTCCATAATACTTATCATCATAGGAATGTAATATGTATTTTTCTTTGTCTTTTTCATAGACTAGAAGCTCAAGAAAAAAAAAATCATTGCTGTATCCTTAGTTTCTAAGAGTACACGACATGTAATGTTCAAAACAGTCTGTTGTTTAAACCACAGACCTAACAAAACACTATGAGTAGCTATTGTCTTAGGGTAATTTTCCCCATGTATGTGACTTTCATGAGAGATGATTTTTTAAAGGTATGCATTAAGTAACACTGAATCAAGAGGAAAGAATCTTTTCAATAATTTAATCCCTCTCATTAAGTCAAAAAGGTCTCACTTCGTGCAATTTTGTCTCTAACACTTGATAATTTACGCTTCTAAAAAGAGAATGGGCCTTAATATTTACAACCTTTTGTAGGGAACACTATCTGGCCAGAACTTAATAACCTTGCTTTGTTTCCACTGTATTTAAGGTCACCATCTATTTTAATTGTTTGGTAACATGTTAATCTCATTTAAATCTTCTAAGAACTCTTATGAGAGAAGTATCATTTTTGCACATGATGAGGTTCCCATGAGACGAAAGTTTCATTTAAGATAAAATTCACCAATTTAAACTGCACAATGCAGTGTCTCTTTGCATCGTCACAATGTTTTGCAACCATCACTAATTCTAGAACATTCTCAACACCCCCAAAGAAACCCTACACCCTTTAGCTATCACTTCCTAACCTCATTTCCCCTAGCCCTAAACAACCACTAACTTTTCTGTCTCCATATATTTGCCTATTATAGACATATCATACAAATGAACTTGTGGTCTTTGGGGACAGGTTTTTTTTTTTGGGTGGCTTGTTCCTGGTTTTCATTTAGCATGTTTTCAAGGTTCATCCATACTGTAGCATGTTTCAGTACTTCATTCCTTTTTTCATGACTGAATAATACTGTATTGTGTGGATATATCACATTTATCTATTTATCAGCTGATGGGTATTCCAGTTGTTTTCTCTTTGGGGTTATTCTAAATAAAGCTGCTGGCACATTCATGTGCAAGTTTTTGTTTTAATATGTTTTCACTTTTATTGAATACACATGCCAGTTAGAAATGCTGGACCATATGGTAATTCTGCTTAACTTTTTGAGGAAAGGACAAACTGTTTTCTAAAGTGGTTGTACCATTTTGCATTCCCACCAGCAACACCCAACTGTTCCATTACTTCACACCCTTACTGAAAAGTGGACCTGTACTCTTTTTAAAAACTTTAGCCACTCAAATCAGTATTTCACTGTGGCTTTAATTTGCATTTCCCTAATGACTAGAGACCTTGATCATCCTTCCATGTGATTATAGACTATCTGCGTGTCTTCTCCAGAAATATTTGATTTTTTGCCATTTTTAAAGTGAACTATTTTTTTGTTGATGAATTGTAAAAATTTTTTTTCTAAAGTATCTTGTTAAAACTATATATTTAGGAACTTCCCTTGTGGTCTAACAGTTAAGATTCCTCACTGCTAATGCAAGGGGCCAGGGCACAAACCCTGGTCAGGGAGCTAAGATCCCACAAGTCCTGAGGTGCAGACAAAAACTTTAAAAAGAAAGAAAGCCACTTAAAAAAACCGACAGAAGTTTAAAAATTATATATTTATAAAGAAAAATGTTAAGTAAACAACAGTATAGTTGGGTAAAAATAATGAAGGCAAAGTACAACTCAGGGCCTAGTTTTAGCAATACTGGCTCACACGCTAAAGGCAAGGTTTCTGGCCTCACAGAAGCCAGGTTCAAATCCCAGTTCTGCCTCTAAAAAGCTGCGCGCGGGCTTTTAGGCAAGACAGTGAACCTTTGTGAGATTCAGCTCCCCCGGCTTTAAAAAGCATGGCACCTGCCACTTGAGAGCTATTGAACAAATGACGCGTGTGAAGCGCTTACTCAGTAACAGTGCCGCTAAGCGCTCTCAAAAATTAGTTACAACGATGAGACGGTTGTCTCATCGGTTCAGTTTCCTGAGAACTCAGTCCTCAACCGCAGGGGCGGGCCACCAGAGATTCGGCGCCACCGCGTACAGACCTTTATACGCATGCTCTTCCCTCAGCGACCTCTCACGGGCACCTGCCCCCTGCTCGGAGCCATTATGGCTGCGCCACCAGACTTCCGTTTCCGGGTCGCCGAGGCGACTTCCGGTAGCGTGACCGGGGCGCGCTAGGCCGGCGGGGTCCCGGAGCCGGAAGGGTCTACGCTGACAGCCGGTTAACCGGACGCTGGGAGTGGTCAGGTGGGGCGCCTCTGACCCTCGGCAGAGAGTAGTGACCTTCGTCTTCCGACCCGGACGGTCCACGGGCTGCATTTCAGCCCGATCTAGAGTGGATTCCTTCTCATTCCCTCTCCCTGGACTTCACGTGCTCCCCGGGATTCCTGTGATTAGGGCCCTTCGGTGGGAGTCGGGAGACGTGGGTTTCATTCCCGCCTGCGCCACTGGTTGGCACTCTGACCTTGGCTGCAAACGTCCTTTCGTGGGCTTCCGCTCCCTTATTTAGTGACTGTGAGCTCCTTAATGGCAGGACCAATGGGCCTCCCTGTTGACAACTGGGAAAGCATCCGCCTGCAATGCGGGAGACCCGGCTTTGATCCCTGGGTTGGGAAGATCCTCTGGAGAAGGGATCGGCTCCCCGCTCCAGTATTCCGGCCTGGAGAGCTCCATGGACTGTATAGTCCATGGGGTTGCAAAGAGTCGGAAACGACTGAGCGACTTTCACTAATGGCCGGAACGGACTTTTATTTGTGTTAGGCACTGTCGCCTGTCCCGGGTACAGAATCAGGACAGTGTAGGAACAATGTCTGCTTAAGTTGTTTTGGGTCACGAAACTTTGAAAATCTGGCGAGAACTTTTGATCTCCACCTCCCAGCTCTCTAGTTCTTCCTAGTCCACCCTTGCCTCCCACTGTGCCAAATGCTCAGATAAAGGAAATTTCGCTTACAGTTAGTTTCAGATAGTTCACAGATCTCTATTGATGCCCATTCATGTATCCCAGAGCCTGTCCTGCCCTAGGCATTCAAATATTGTAATCACAAGACAGTAGATATTCAGTTAATTATTTTTTTAAATGCATGAATCACTGTCCATTTCAAAGAGGAAGATAGACATCCTTAATTAGCAAGTAGGAACTGGCAGTAATATGCCATTCTTGCATAAGTCTTTTAATAACTCTAGGAGAGAGCCATTATTCATTTCCCATTTGGCAGGTGGGGAAATAGAGGCAATGGAAAATAAACTTATTTTAGGTCATTCAACTTTTGAATGTCCAGGGCAAGAATTCAAACCCAGGTCTGAAATTCCAAAGCCCCCTGTTCTTAACTACTAGCAGAAGAAGGATTAAATGCGGAAATATTTCTAAATGTGGTCTAGCAGTATCTGTTTTGAGCTTAACTTCTGTAGTTATGTGATGACTATCATCAAGACGGGTGATCTCAAATCAAACATTGCATGCTGTGCAAAGACTTGTCTGTCTACAATTCTTCCATAGTATCTGTTGCTTGTTTAATAATACTGTATTTTAAATCTTCCACTTTGACCCATGTTATTCAGTCCTTATAACTTTGATGAATACTAATTTGGTTATGTTGCATTGTTTTGCTAGACATCCAAATTAGATGTTTTTAATTATAGTTGAAGTAAGAGGTGATTGTATTTGGGCATTATTTCTTTTTATTTTCTGTACTACTTTTAAAGGGACTACATTCAGGATCTTGGAAGCACTGCCAATATGTCTGATGTTCAAGAAGCCAGTAACCAGCTCCTGGATGTGAATCTTTGTGAGAACCAGATGTCTATACAAGTGACTGAAAGTGACCCCAGAAGTGAGTCTGAGCATCTCCAAGTCACTATTGGTGCCACTGTGCCTACTGGTTTTGAGCAAACAGCTGCAGATGAAGTGAGAGAGAAATTGGGGTCATCATGCAAAATCAGCAAAGACCGGGGCAAGATATATTTTGACATTTCAGTGGACAGTCTGGCTCAGGTTTGAATGAAGCAATATTTAAAATGGCTTTCTAAATAGATGATTTTATGTTATGTTTACTTTCTTAGTTTACAGGCCTCTCTGGAATCTTTATTGCTTTTCTTTGCTCTGCCCTATTTATTTATTTATTTTTATTTTATTTATTTATTTGGCTATGCAGGTCTTAGTTGTGGGAACTCTTAGTTGCAGCATATGGGATCTAGTTCCCTGACTGGGAATGAACTCAGGTCCCCCACACTGGGAGTGCAGAGTCTTAGCCACTAGACCACAGGGAAGTCTGTATCAGGTGATTTTAAAGTATTACTGCATTTTACATTGGGTACTGATTTGTAAGTTTGCTTTATTTATTTTTCTTTTAGAATTGACCCTAATATTTCCTGAGGATCAATTCACCAGAAAAAATCCTGTGAGACTCAGGAAAAAATTCTTAGTATCTGCTATTCCTCTTAGAAGTTATTTACTTTGGCATGTAGCTGAAATTTAGACTTCAGTGGTGAAGCATAAAGGGAGAGATTTTTCGCTTTACCTGTGTCACATTTATTCTTGCTCAAAAGTAATTAGGAATCACTGAAGGTGAGAAGTGAAGGTCAGCAAACTTCCATCCCTCTGGAGTAAACACTAAGCTGTATCTCATTATCACATAAGCAACACGAGGGCAGGTATTGTTGCCTGTGTTTGGGGGTTTTTTTTGGTCAGCATTTCCCAAGCTCTTAGTGTCTGGCATATAGTAGACCCTGTATTTTTCATCCAGTGTTTAGTTAATAACCTCAGCAGCTTTGTAAAGAAAGGCACTATCATTATCCTCATTAATCATTAAGCTTAATAATAGGTAATTTGCACAAGGTTGCTTAGCTAATAATCACCGACTGGAGATCAGACCCTATACAGTGTACCCCAGAGAGCTGTGAAGGCAGAATAAAACCCCATTTCACTGCTCCATCTTTTCCTTCTCCCCTAACTCATGTTGCCCACAGAACACTTCTAGCTTCTAGTCTTCCATCTGTCTTTTTTCCTTTTCTATAGGGGAATAGAACCTGATGGGTAACCAAAAAGATGGGAGGATGGGGAAGTGGGAAAATTTTTAAATACAAATTATAGGTATTAGCTGCTTTAAAATCTTTGTACCTAATTTTTATATTTAAATGTTGATAGTTTATGCACTTCAAAACTTGCCCAGAATTTGTCTCTTAACATTTTTTCTTTTTCCCTACCCAGGTTCATTGTCTGAGATCAGTTGATAATTTATTTGTGGTTGTTCAGGAGTTTAAGGATTACCAGTTCAAAGAAACAAAGGTAAGCTTTCCTAAACATGGAAGCTAATTTTCAGCCATCTTCCCAAAAAGATTATTTCCACTTTTCATATTCTGTGTATCATTTAGCATTACTGCTTCTTTTATAATAATAGAATACTGGGAGGCTTTTATAGTAAAATCCAGAGATTTGTTGATAATCCATCTCCAGAAGTTGCTTTTAAAAATTATTATTGCAGGGTGTGGGGAATGGGTGAGGAAGTCAACAGATACAAATTTCCAGTTAAGATAACTGAACATGGTGACTGTAGTTAATAATACTGTACTGCACATTTTCCAATTGCTCAGATAGTAGATCTTAAGAGTTGTCATCACCAGAAAACTGTTTGGTGACAGATGTTAACTAGACTTGTTGTGGTGATCATTTTCCAGGGTAAACAACTACTGAATCATTTTGTATATACCTGAGACTAAAATTATATGTTAATTATATCCCATTTTCTTTTAAAGGGGAAAGAATAATGGAACAAAGAAATAAAAATCGATATTGAAAAACAAAAAAATAAATTAACATTGAAAAACAAAATCTTAACAAGAAATAGAACAAATGATTTGACTTTCTCACAAAAGAAAGGCACCTTAGATGAGCTTTGCTGATTTATATGGTTTCAAAATAGAATTGCTTCCAAGCTGTGAAGCAAGGAGCAGGCATCAGTTTGTGTCATCTACCAATAACGCTTTGTCTCACCATTCTGTTTTTGCCCTGCTTTCTTCTCTAACTTGTTTTTAGAAATATTATCTAAATACTCCTTCAGTTGTTAGGACAACAGCTTTGTTCCTAACTTGTGTTTAGCATCAGATTCCTAAATATTGAGATGCTGCCTAAGCTGAAGGCTGAAAATAGATCACAGTCCAGCTTTAGTATTTTTCCACATTGCTTTTTAAAGGTCTCATTTCCAGAGTCAAATGCTTGAAAACCCTTTTCTTTCAGTTTTATTGCCTATATTAGAAATAATCTTTTTAAAACTATAATGTGCTGCCTGATTGTCTAATTTTTATTTATTGGTAACAGGTTGATTTCCAAAACATCATTCAGAAACCAGTCAAACTGATATGAACCCACAGCCTAGAAAAAAACAGACCTAAAAGAATTCAGACTGAAAATAGATGATAATTTTATTAACTAAAAATGTAACTTTTAATACTAGTTTTATAACCCTTCAGCCTTCTGATGGGCATTGCCGACCAAATCATATCTACAAAATTAGTAAATAATAGGCAGGCTGCTGACAATCTTTGCTCTTAAGTATTTCAAAATTTTACTAGCTGATTCTATACATGAATAAATGTTGACATATTTTTAAAATATGTGTCAATCTTAAATTATTGCCTCTAACCTACTAGGTATTATTAATAGTATTTTCCTCAATTACCATGTTTTTGCCATCCTGGAATTTATATTATTTTGGGTATTCTTAATCTCTCTAATTGGAGGTGAATTTGATATTATGGAGCCAGGTTTCCAGAGCTGCCTTCTAAGTAACTGCAAAGGAGGTTACTGGTAGAAGTCCCGGAAGAAAACAGTAAGGATTAAGGTAGATTTTCAGGGACTTCCTTGGCAGTCCAGTGGTTAACACTTCACCTTCCAATGAAGGGGTGCAGGTTCGATCCCTGGCCAGGGTGCTAGGATCCCATATGCCTTGCGGCCGAAAAACCAAAACATAAAAAAAACAGAAACAATATTCTAACAAAGCCAATAAAGACTTTAAAAATGGTCCACATAAAAAAAATATTTAAGAAAAATAAATAAAGTAGATTTTCAGATCTCTGCAAGAGCAACTTCTGTTGCATATGACAGTGAAAAATTGTTAAGCGCTTTGTGGACTTGAGTTGCAACATGCCCCCAGTAGAACCTTGTTTTGTTTGGCTTCTAGTTTTCATTCTGTTGACCATCAGTTTTTTCCTTTGTTGCATTATGCTTTTGCATGTCTATAAAAGCCTGTTAGTTTAGGCATCCTAATGGGTTCTCTATTTTTAAATACTCAGATGATAACATGAATTTTATTAGCTTTTTTATTAACTTTTTTTTAAAGGGTAACAACTGTGATTTAAATTGTTTAGCCAGTTTATATATGTATTTAGAACAAAATTGTAAAGATTGAAAAGATACACAGTGAAACATGTTCCTCTGTCTTCATACTATCCATTTCCCTTCTTGAAGGCAACAGTTATTACCGATTTCTTAGATATCATTCAAGAGATATTTTGTTAATATGTGTATTTTTTTTACATATTGACACAAATGGTTCAAGAGATATTTTGTTAATATGTGTATTTTTTTTTTACATATTGACACAAATGGAAGTATACTCTGCATACTGTTCTGTTCTGTGTTTTTACTTGTCATGTTGGAGATCACCGCACTATCATTGTTGGATTTGACTGCATCAGTTTAATCAGTCCCATTTTAGGACATTAGGATTTTCCACACTCTTGTCATTACATCAGTGCAATGAACATCCTACATACATCCATGTACTTATTTCAGTCTGAGGGTCATTTTTCTGTTTGATAAGTTTATCCCATTGATGTTTATTGATACGACAGAAATGTTTGGTCTTGGTTCTGTCATGTTTATGTTACACACATTCAGCTTTTTAAAAATTTATGTGTTTGCTTTTTCCACGTGCGTGTGTTTTAAAATATTTGGAAAGTTTGTGTTCTTTCTCTAGCTGTTAACTTTTATAAATATAACTTCATCTACTGTTTACACAGTATTTCTTGAATTTCTACTAAGAGCAGTGATGAAGTTGGCATATTTTCTACATCTCTCCTCCCTCCCTTTCATCCTCCAATTTTATAATTTTTCTTGGTGTTGACCCATATGCCTTTGAATCCTTTAAGTATAGTTTAAAAAACATTAGCTTTAATTTCTATCCCTTGACTTCAGGTTATAAGAGAAGATACAAGTGTGCTTAAATTACCTCCCATGTTCTGTTACCTTTCCCTACAAGGATACATCCCTTTGTAACAGTTACATTCTGTTTTGTTGTCATAATCCCTATGTTTGTTTTCATTTTAGTTTTTTTTGTTAAATTGATAATAGGCACGCTACTTGTCTTTTTGTTACAGGTTTATCTCTTGGATGGCACTGAGTTCAGAAATGTTTGTGTTTCACCTCTATACTTGATTAATCATTTGGGTTTAAAATTGGGAGTCATGCTCTCCTTCCTTAAGAGTATTGTAGTGTTCATTCTCTTCTAGCATGAAATGTTGTCATGGAACAATCTGAAGCCACCCTGTTATCCACCCCCCCCCCCCATTTGTTGCCAGATTCTTATTATTTCCGCTTGATGCCCAGATGATTTTTTTCTTTCTTCAACCTTTAGAAGTCACCAGAATATGTCTCCTTGTTGATAATTCCTAGTTAGGACATGTCAACCTATAGAGCAATTCATATCCATTTATATTTAAGTTTTCTTGAATTACTTTTTTAATATGTTTTATTTTAAACCCCTTCATCAGGGATAAACCAGTTATACATGTGTAGGATCTCTTTTGACTGTCTTTGATGTTTTCCACTGTTCTCTAATCCTTTTAAAAATCTTTGCTCATTTTTACTATATTTGCTTTGCTTTCCTTCACATCCCTTACTGTATTTTCAGCAGTGGCTTTTATAAGTGGTGCTCTCAATATGGTCTTCATTTTTGCAGTGGTTTTGTTTTCTCATTCCACTTTTTCTTTGAACTTGACAAGCTCCTGTTTCATCTTCTTCTGGCAGCTCCCCTCATCTTTTTCCTGCTTTTATATCTCTTCTTTGAGCCCTTATGTTGCAGAAGTATTTCCTTATTACATTTTTTTTATTTCATGTCAACATATCTCATCATGGATTTCAGTTGCTTTGTGTCAGTATCTTTCTGGTCACTGGTTGTTTTCTGCTGTTTGCTTTTCTGTCCCTTTCCTCCTTTTTTTCCATTTATGTAAGTCTGGTGCTAATAAGTTTTGATAATTGCTCGTCCTTGAATGAGGGAGTTCCTTCTTGATGGAAGATTCAGGAACTGTTCCAGGCCAGCAAGAAATCCCCCTGATTCACTGTGAAGTTCCTTCTGGCAAAAGGTTGTGGGTAAATGAGTTCTCTTCCTTCTTTTTTTAAATAGCTTTATTGAAGTATAATTTCCATACCATTTACTGAGTTCTTTTAACCATTCCTGCTCCCTAGCTGGAAGAGTTCAGGAACTTTAAGGTTATTTACTGGAGTATTTCTGCGCATCTCTATTCTTTCTCTCCAGCAAATAGAGCCTATTACTGAGATTCCTTATTCAGCCTCCATTTCCCTCCTTTGCTGCTTTTGGAAACAAGATCCAGGGAAGCTCCTTCTTGGTGCACGCTCTTCTTCCCTGCTCTTCCAGAGAAGAATTTATTTGTTCCTCCTTTGCAGACTTCTCCCCCCTTTGCCTGAGATGTGTAGGTATTCTTCCTCAGGTGTCTTCCTACACCTCTGCTTGACCTTCCCTGCACTCAGGAATTCTTATGTTAGAATTCTTATGTTCTGATTCTAGGTTAACAGATACCATGTAGATTCTGTTACTATAGAGTTGGTATTTCTGTTGTTCTTTTTCTTGTTGTTTTGGTTTGGGTTTTTTTTTCTTTTCTTTTTGGCCATGCCGTGTGGCATATGGGAATCTTAGTTTCCTAACCAAGGATTGAACCTGCATCTCCTATATTGGAAGCTCAAAGTCTTAACCACTGGACCACCAGAAAAGTCCTGCATTTCCCTTCAGAGAGGAGCCTTGGTAATGAACCTAATAACTTCAGGTGATGCTTAGTTATGTAAAGAAAATAAAATGAGATGAAGAGTGACTTGAGAGCAGAGTTGGTCTCTCAGAGGATGTGCTTTGAAATTGCTGTTGAATAATGAAAAGGGTACCAGCAGAGCAGAGAGGCCATGTGAAGCACATACCTTCTCATCTGAAGCAGAGGTGGGAAGCTTGGGAGATGATCCTTACATGGTGTAAGAAAAGAAACATAGACAGGAGTTGGGTCATTGGGCTTTTTAAGGAATTTAAATTTTGGATGTAATAAGCTGTTAAGGTACTTTACACATGATCAGATTTACTTTTTTAACAGATAACTGTAGATACTATTTAGATACTGGATAGATACCTTTTTTTTTTCCACTTATTTTTATTAGTTGGAGGCTAATTACTTTACAGTATTGTAGTGGTTTTTGCCGTACATTGACATGAATCAGCCATGGATTTACATGTGTTCCCCATCCCAATCCCCCCCTCCCGCCTCCCTCCCCATCCCATCCCTCTGGGTCTTTCCAGTGTACCAGCCCCAAGCACTTGTCTCATGCATCCAACCTGGGCTGGTGATATGTTTCACCCTTGATAGTATACTTGTTTCAATGCTGTTCTCTCAGAACATCCCACCCTCACCTTCTCCCACAGAGTCCAAAAGTCTGTTCTGTACATCTGTGTCTCTGTGACCAATACAGTATACTAACTCATATATATGGATAGATTCTTTTTTAATTTTTAAAGTTTGGGTTTTTTTCTTTTCAAAAATAGTATGTATACACAGCACACAATTAAATAGGAAGTCAGTCATTGAAAGGTCTGCTGACCTCCCCTGTGTTTCATCCACCCACTTCCCCTCCCTGGAGGTGACCACTGTTAATAGTTCCTTATTTGTTTGCATTTTAATCTGGAAGCCCACCTTCTGATCTACCATTCTGTCTTGTATTATTCTGTAGTGGCCTTAATTTGTATAAATCTTAATCTCAATTAAGACTCTAATTTCCTCAGTTGCAGGCATTATATTATTTATTCTTTTGTCGTGTTCTCCTACAACCGCCAACATAGCGATTAATGTAGTCCATAGGCAAAGTAGGAGTTTATTTGTTCAATTAAAGTGGTGAGAAATGAATGAAATTAATGGATTTCATTCTCTGTCTTTTATAGGAAGAAGTTCTAAAGGATTTTGAGGACCTGGCTGGGAAGCTTCCATGGTCAGACCCCTTAAAAATATGGAAAATTAACACAAGTTTCAAGAAAAAAAAAACAAAGCGCAGAAAGATAAATCCGAATTTAAGTAAACAGAAGATTGATAATGGACGAGGAGACACAACAGTTGAGAAGGATGTTAAAGAATTCACTAACAGTGTCTCAGATTCACAGACCTTAGACTATTATGAAAATCCAGCCGTCAAAGAAGAGGTATCAACATTAATAGGTGATGATTTGACATCTTGCAAAGATGAGACTGAGGAAAACTCAAAAGAAGAAGCTGATCCTGAAGTGCTGAAGTTTAGAGTCACATGCAACAGGGCAGGAGAGAAACACTGCTTTTCCTCAAATGAGGCAGCAAGAGATTTTGGGGGTGCTGTTCAAGATTATTTTAAGTGGAAGGCTGATATGACCAACTTTGATGTGGAGGTAAGTGCATGTTCTTACGTGATGATTCAAGAAGGTTGTCATAACAAATGTGTAGAACTTTCAAGACTAACTTAGTCTTATGGACAATTAAACTGAGGTGACAAAGTTAATGGGGTATCATAATAAAAGTATGGGCAATGGAGACAGAGCTAATAAACCCAGATTTCTACTCCATAACTCTGTAGCTTTGGACAAGATATTCTGTCTGAGCCTCTATTTCAAATTGGAGCCAAAAACACTTTATACCTATGTGTCCTAAAGGTTAAATGAGATTATACTTTTGAAGTATCTGGAATGATACCTGGTCTGTAGTACATGCTCAATAGGTGGGAGAGCTATCGAGACTTGAGTTTTCTTATTTCTAACCTAGTGCTTTTTCTAACATGGTGTGGACGTTCAGATTATGAAATTCAAAAGAATTAAAGCAACTGTTTTGTTGTGTGTCTTGGTTGCAGACTTTGCTACTGAAGTGGAGTATATTTTTAAAACAAACCTTGACTTTCTAAAATGAGGACATCATTGCTAATACTCATCCTGGAGCCAGCTCTCCTCTTTCTTAAATTGTGCTATATTCCCAAGCTCAGATCCTCCGTTTTAACACGCTCACTCTCCTTGGTCTCAATCTTCTGCTATATGGGTGATTCACACGTGGGCCATACTGACTAATCTTTCCATCTCCAACAGTTTAAAGGCCTCTAGCAGCTGATGTTTTTACCAAGGGGTCGTTTACTGTTGCTTTAGGGACACTTGAATCTGGGCAAGTCGTTATTCTCTCTTTTATTTTTGCATATCAAGTTGGAAGAACAATTCCTATTCCTTTTTCCTTGTAACAGCTGTTATGATGATGAATAGACTAACTAGAACAGTGATGTCCAGAAGTTAGCAGAAGGGCTCAGAGGACAGATTCAGGAGTTGTACTGCCTCGGTTTATTTATTTATATTATTTGGCTGTGCTGGGTCTTAGTTGCAGCATGTGGGACCTTTGGTTGTGACATGTGAACTCTTAGTTGCAGCATGCCCGATCTAGTTCCCTGACCAGGAATGGAGCCTGGGCTCCCTGCCTTGGGAGCTCAGAGTCTTAGCCTCTGGGACCAAGAAAGTCCCACTGCTGCTGCCGCCAAGTCGCTTCAGTTGTGTCCGACTCTGTGCGACCCCATAGACAAAAGCCCACCAGGCCCCCCCCGTCCCTGGGATTCTCCAGGCAAGAACACTGGAGTGGGTTGCCATTTCCTTCTCCAATGCAAGAAAGTGAAAAGTGAAAGTGAAGTTGCTCAGTCGTGTCCAACTCCTAGCGACCCCATGGACCACACTACCTGGGTTTAAATCCCAGTTTATGAGCTGTATGACTTTGGGCAAGTAAAAGTAACCTCTTTGTGTCTTAATTTCCTTATCTATAAGAGGAGGAGGATAATATCTAGCTCAGAGGGGGTGGATATAAAATGAGGTAACAAATACAAAGTGTGTAGAACAGTGGTTTGCATAGAGCTAGGTAAGTGTTAACTGCTGCTGTTGAGATCATGATGAGGAAATTTGAGGTGGAAGATGGGAGAACACATTCTTGTTTTATTTGAATAGTTTATATTTAACTGTGTGTTAGAAAAACTATAACAAGGACCAAAAAAATTCTTTCACAGGCATTACTTGTAAGTCAAGTTTTTTAAAAGTACTAAGAAAATAATAGGTGTTAAAGCATATGTGGCCTGGCATTAACACTTGGTTAATCTAAATGAAGGGTATACTTAAGAGTTCATTGTGCCAGTATTCTTGTAAGCATTTCTATATGTTTGGAATTTTTTCTCCCAACGTTAAAAATGTTTTAAATGCATTTTAGAAGCCTGGAAACCTTCAAAATATGTTTCTCTTATAAAAATCGAAGGAAATCTGGTTATACCTAACTTGGGAAAACAGTGAATCAAAAGGAGAATAAAATAATTCTAAAATAGCATGTGCTTAAATGATTTCCTTTATATGAAGCTCAAAAAAAGACAAAATAATTTATCATGATAGTGGTCAGATTAATGACAGTTTGGGCTGGGTACTGACTGAGAGGGCAGGAAAAACTGTCTTTTTCTGGGTGGTGGTTACACAGCATGTGTATGCTGAAACTCACTGCACTACATACTTAGGATTTGTGCATTTTACTGTATGCAGGTATACCTCAGTAATAAAGTAACAGAAATTAATGAAGCCTCAAATTTTAAAATCTTATTTGAACTCTCTTAAAGCTATTTTATTCTGTCTTATTTTATTTGTAGGTTCTTTTGAATATCCATGATAATGAAATTGTTGTGGGCATTGCATTGACAGAAGAGAGTCTCCACCGAAGAAATATCACACATTTTGGACCCACAACTCTTAGATCTACTCTTGCCTATGGGATGCTCAGGTAAGAGAATGCATTAGCCTTGTAGGTTCAGGTGACACTTTGCTTTGAATTTTCCCTTCAAAATTTTTTGTGAGGTACTGTGTTAGAATCTTGTGGATAAAGAACAAGATAAAATGTTAAAGATCTTTTTCTTTGTATCCAATGTTGATTCCTTGAGATTCTGAGAAGATCACTTAATTAACATCTCAATTTTCTTGATTTAAAATGAGAATGATAGTTTTCATCTGCCTTTTGAATGTAGTTGTCACATCTCTGTTTAGAAAGGATATATGCCATGTTGGGAAATAGAACAAATTTTGTTCTGTTTCATTTCTGTGCAATGAAGCAGATGGATAGCAGAGATTTCATAAATGTGTACAATGTATAAATGAACACAGAGAGCTTTTACTTATATGTTAAAATTTTATACTCACAGAAACCCAGGAATCATCTGAAATTTTCTACTTTTCAAAGAACAAAACAGCTTTCTTTCTTCTTTGCCTGTTTCCCTTTGACTGGGTGTTTCTTTCCACCACTAGGACAAGATGTCTTCTCTAGGTTTCTGTTCGCCAGACTGCAAAATAGGTTTGATGTGAGACTTAAAGGATTATGAGTGAGGAATAAATGCAGAAACAGATGCAAAATACCTGTTACATACAGTACCTGGCATGCCTGGTAGTTAATTCTATTTCCTTGTCTTCCAATCTTTGCTTCCTCTTTTCCCCTGCTCATCCTTGGAATCCTAGTTCAACACAACTGGAGCCTGTCAATTCAGTGACAACAGTAGGAAAACTGGGCCCATTTGATTAAGGAAGAGCTCCTAGTCATCATTTACTTAACAAACATTTATTATCTCCTGAAGGTATTATGGTAGGAGCCAGGAATATAGAGAGTTATTACAGGTACAACTGTTAGAAACCTAAATAAGCTAGTTTAAGATTTTAAAAAGTGATGATTGTGTGGGAGTGGGAATTAATGGCAAAATACCGAGAATCCACAGAAAAACTGATAGCCATGTCTTAAGAAAAGTAGGATCCTGGTCTTAGAGAAAACCACCAGAAACCTAGATAGTCACTTTTATCTCCCCTGGAAGCCCATGGGCTCTTGCCTCTACTTCTCTCTATAAATGGCTCCCCCTCATCTAAATTTATATGTTTCCGATTTTAAATAATCAGAGTTTCTAGCTGTTTGTTCCCAACTATTAGAAGGAGAATCTGATTGACATAGTTTCGGTCATGTGTTTGCTCAGACCTAGCAACAGTGGCTGGGAGTACAGAGTTGCTTACGCCCAAGAGGGTTGCCAAGGATTCTGTTGCTCTGTGTTTTGAGGGGCAGGAACGGGGAAGTAGAGCTGGACAGTTCAGTTCAGTTCAGTTCAGTCACTCAGTGGTGTCCGACTCTGCAACCCCATGGACTGCAGCACATCAGGCTTCCCTGTCCATCACCAACTCCCAGAGCCTACTCAAATTCCTGACCATTGAGTCAGTGATGCCATCCAACCATCTCATCCTCTGTTGTCCTCTTCTCCTCCCGCCTTCAATCTTTCCCAGCATCAGGGTCTTTTCAGATGAGTCGGTTCTTTGCATCAGGTGGCCAAAGTATTGGAGTTTCAGCTAAAGCATCAGCCCTTCCGATGAATATTCAGAACTGATTTCCTTTAGGATTGATGGTTGACTCTCCTTGCAGTCCAGAACTGTGGTGTTGGAGAAGACTCTTGAAAGCTCGGCAGGTGTTACAGTAAGAATCCAGTATTAAAGCAACTGGTGATTTAGTCACTAAGTTGTGTCCAACTCTTGCGACCCCATGGACTGTAATCTGCCAGGCTCCTCTGTCCATGGGATTCTCCAGGCAAGAATACTGGAGTGGGTAGCCTTTCCCTTCTCCAGGGAATCTTCCCAACCCAGGGATCAAACCCAAGTGTCCTACATTGCAGGCAGATTCTTTACCAACTATAAAGCAACTATACCCCAATACAAATTAATTTAAAAAAGGAGTCCAGTGTTAGTCCCCAGGAATATCAGTTTTGTGAGGAAGAACCATAATAGAATGTGGAAAGAAAAGCAGGACAAAAGAAGGAAAGAAGAACCTTGTCACCTGTCTGAGGAGGAGATATTACATAGAGGCGGTAACATTTAAGCCACTAACTGTAATGCCTCTAATTCTGACTCTGTCACCTATTAGCTTTGCGTCCACAGATGGATGGGTCAGCTTATCTGTAACTGAGAATAATAATAGTAACCTATCTCACAAGGCTGTAAAAAGGATTAAAAGAGATAATGCATGCAAAGAACTTAAATCCATGCCTGGCAAATACTAAGAGCTGAAAGCTAAAGTAGTTATTTTAATAGCAACCTTTATTGTCTTTAAAAGTAATCAGGGAAGGAATACTGAATGAGTAATTGCCAGTAAACTTGTATTCATACATGTTGTACTTGATACGTTTGAGTTTTCAATGTAACAACACAAGTTTATATACAAAATAACACCTCTCTTCTAAAAGTATATGAGCGCGCGGGCACACACACATGAAGAGATATACAAGTCAAATTCCATTCAAAGTGAAAGAGATTTTGGTTGATAGAGGACTTTTAGTTAGGTGTAATTTTTTTAAGCGCAAGGATATAGACTCAACATATAGTTACAAATTTATCTTTAAAATAAATTCTGATTGTTGTTTCTTCAGGCTGGCATAACAGACCTGTGATCTGACAGCATCAGGAATAGTCATTGTGGGTGTCTTGGCTGTTGACGTCTGTTCACATAGGCTGTTTTCTTCTCTAGGCTCTGTGCACCTCAGCCCACTGATATAATAGTTGATCCGATGTGTGGAACAGGGGCAATACCAATTGAGGTAATAACTCTTCTTTAGCTTTTAGATAAGAAAGTGATGCATCCACAATGTTCTAGAACTGATGGGTAATGACCAGGGTTAAGTCCATGGACCCAAGATTTGAGTGAATTATACTAGTAAAGCTGGAACTTTTGTGATAAGGATGTAGCCACTTAATACAAATAGCCAAGGACTAGGCTTTAGCTTTGGAGAAGGAAATGGCAACCCACTCCAGTGTTCTTGCCTGGAGAATCCCAGGGACAGGGGGTCCTGGTGGGTTCCCGTCTATGGGGTCGCACAGTCGGACACGACTGAAGCGACTTAGCAGCAGCAGCAGCAGCAGGCTTTAGATTAGAAATCATGTTTATTCACTGGATTACAGAGGAGGCTGAGAATTACAAACTGATGAGTCCCATTTCTTTAGACAAACAGGTAGACTTGAACAGAAAAGATAATTGAAAGCACAAGCATAAACTGGAAGAGGGCATTTAATCTCTATAAAGTGAGATTATGTTTCTTAATCCACTTAGGTTCTTGAGGGAGTAAGTATAGTAGTATGATGGGGAAACCTAGGAACATTATTTAGGTTTTTTAGGATGTTTAGTAAGGTTACAAAGTTTAAAAAAAAAAAAATAGCATCACATTGAGAGGACTCAAAAACTACCTAAAGCAAAGCAAGAAATGGAAAGACATTTTCTAAGTGGAGAACATTTAACAGGAGAGTTTGCTTGAATCATTGTTACTGATTCAATATTATCTAAATAATAATTGAGAAGAGGGCACTCCCAGTAAAATTGCTTAAACTTGTGAAACATAGCAAGTTCTTAAATATAGTATATGTAAAGCCAGTGGGAAGAAACTTTAGGGAGATACCACAGATTCTGAGTGAGCAGAAACTGGACACATAAACAAGTCCAGAGCAACCTACAAAGGGAAAAATAATCCAGAGTGCAGTTAGGAAAGGACATCTGCCATCTGGGAATTAGGAAGGAATTCACAGTAGTCCAGATGATTGCTGTTTTCTGCTAGTATCAACTAGAGAAATTTACTCTGGCTCAGGAGCCACACAGAGGAAAACCAGTTGTTGTCGCAAAGAATTCTGGAAACAATGCAGTGTTCTTCAGCTTTAAACCATGATGTGTCTGTTGCCTGGAAAAGCAGTGAAGGTCAATACATGTCAAGAAATCCACAACAGGGCTAGAAAGAGACAGTCCAGAAGAGCCCCCGGCACCGCTGATGAAAATGTTTGAGGCCTTTCCATGTACGGGTAGACATGAGAATGTCAATGTAGAAAAACCTAGGCTGATATATGATCAAAATGAATGAAATTATGAAAGGAATTGACAGGTTATATAGACAGTTTGTTCACCAAAGTCTAAAATATCTAATTTAGAATACTCCCTCAAAACTTGGAAGTACTACAAAACCCTTTTCAGGAGCTGAAAATCTATATAAATAGGTTTAGAAGAAAAAATGAATATTGGGCAATCAGAAATCACCTGTCTTTCATCAAACTCTTCATCAACCTCCCAACATCACCCTTCTCCATTACCCTCAAGGGTCTGGGGAAAAGAAAAAGCTGTGAAGCACTGTGTCCATGGATGAGGGGGTATTACTCTTTACCAAGGAAGAGGTGCTGTTGTTCATCCCTAAACCGAGGGCAGAACTGTTTGTGCTTTCATGTCAGAAACCTGTTAATCTGCACAGAACATTGTTCGTGCGTAGGGCAGTGTCTCACCTCACTGCACAAATAATACGAAAAGCTCAGGGTTTATGTTCCGTTGACATATTTTTAATTAAACTTACAAAATCCTTTCAAGAATATAGTGGTTATTATTCAAAAGCCCATATAATGAAGATTACAGTTCATTTAAATTCTTAAGTATTCGTTTCTCAGATTATATAAAAATCCCATAATCACAAAAGGGTATAGGTTGGTCAGTTTGATTTGGTTAGCTCTTTCAAAGTACATTTACAGTCTGCAAGGCCTCCCGTGTGGTGGGAGTGCTGGGTGGAGGATACCAGACCTGCCCTTAAGGAGTTCCCAGACTTGCTGAGCAGCAGATCGGTACAGAGGTGTGAAAAAGGGAGCAAGTGCAGTGGCAGATAGATGTACAAAGTGCTTTTGGAGAGGCAAATGAGAGACAGCTTGGAGAGCTGGGGTTGAGTCAGAGGGCATGATGTTGGAGCTGGGACTTCAAAGATGAGTAAGAGTTGAGCAAACAGAACAGCAGGGAGGGTGTTTCAAGCAAGGGAAGTAGAATGTTGACAGCACGCAGTGTTTCGCCACTTTAGAAAAGCATTGGACTATTGACTGGCATTGTCTTGAATATTGACAAATGGTTGAACTGATTTTACCTTTAATCATTTTGGGGTTATTTTCTTTTTTTTTGCAGTTTGCTAATTCTAATATATACTCTTGTATTTTAGGGGGCTACAGAATGGTCTAACTGTTATCATATTGCTGGTGATAATAATCCATTGGCTGTGAATAGAGCTGCAAATAACATCTCATCTTTATTGACCAAGATCCAAGTTAAAGAAGGGTAAAAATTCAAGATTTTGTAGCATCACTTAAACTTAGATAATCAAGTTTCATATTGGCTTATGAATTAATATAACCACTGCATTGTGACATTATAACCAAATATACTGTGAGATTCCATTTAAATTTTAAGTTGATTGAAACTAATTTATATTTTTAAAATATTTTAACTATAATTTCCCTTATCCTAATGCAACTATTTAAATTTCTATCTTCCTTCTTATTTCTATATCTTCTTTTCCACATAAAAGAATTACATAGATTCATTTTAATTTTCTAAGTTTTCCATTATGCGTGCAGGCATCCAGCTGGGGACTTAACAGAGGCACAAGCGATCTTTTCTCTGGAAATGTTTTATTAAGTAGGTTATGTAGTATGGAGAAGGCACCCCATGCAGGGGTGAGAGAAAGGGCCTTAGCTGTCCTCCTAGGTCTCAGGGAAGAGGAAGGAGATGGCAGTGGTTCCCTTTTGTCTGAAACTTAATTGAATACAAACAAGGAACTCAATCTTGAGCTAAATGTTACAGGAATTAAGAGAAATCCAGGGGGAAAAGTCACCTAATACCAAATATTTGTCTATCCCACCCATATAATCTTCAGTGTCTTCTTATTAGTATGCTTCAGGACCACTTTTGATGATTATAGTCTTACAGGACCACGTGTATCCCAAGATTTGATTCATTCATAACTCAGACTTTATAATCATTTTCTCATTTCAAAATCTGTTCTTATAAAACAAGTTTATAAATATGAATTTATATTTAATATGAATTTGTGAAAATCATATTAAATACTAATATTTTCTTATGCAATTAAAGCTGAAAATCAGTCTTAATTTCTTAGTTTATTGATATTGTCATTATAAATGTTTTAGCTTATGATCTGTGCTTTCCACATACATACTACCTTAAAAATTTTTACTAAGTTGCAGATGTTGTCACTGAGATCGTTTTAATTCTTGGATACTATAACAGTCTCTTGACAGAGTCTTTTTATAATTTCGTTCTTCAGGATATGTTGAAGCACCTTTTCTTTTGTCCCCACAGCAAACTGTCCTTGGGCTTGCCCATAGATACTATTCAGTGGGATATCTGCAACCTGCCACTAAGAACTGGCTCTGTAGACATTATTGTAACAGACATGCCATTTGGAAAAAGGTGAGATGTAAAAAATGAGTTTTATTTTCATTTGTTATTATTACCCATGTCTTCTAAATCTGTTGTATTTTCTTTGAGCTTATTCTGTCAGAAATCTTCAGTTTCTTTTAGGAGACTCTGAATAGGTTTTTACTTCCTTTAACAAATATGATGTTCACCCGTTTCTTCTGAGAAGTCAGAAGTGTATTAACTACACTTTCATCCTGACCATCACAGGAGGTTCATCCACTTTGTAGCCCATTACTGAATTACATTAATACTTCAGAGAAAGGTTGAGAAAATCTCAGGATGTTTTTTAATCGGTAGTTTATGTGGCTACCCCCGTTTCAGCTAGTAAAGAACCTGCCTGCCAATGAGGGAGATGCAGGTGTTGGGTAGATCTTCCCTGGGTTGGGAAGATCCCCTTTCGGAAATGGCAACCCGCTCCAGTAGTCCATCATGTTGTAGACTCAGACACCACTGAGCATACATGCAGTTTGGTTTATAACTGCTTATACTAAGACAACCTGTATAACTATTATAGTTGTTTTTTTCCCTTAACCAGTTCACCGCATTCAAGATTCTAAGCAATTTACTAGCCTGATCATTTATTTCATTAACACATAATGGCAAAGGTGTGGTTTTAAAAGGCAACTTTTTTCATACTTCAGAATTTTCTTATTGCAATGAATTTTTAATAACTTCTCATTTCATACAGTCCTAGCCACTTACCTTTTGCAAAAGCAAGTGACTTATTCGACCTCCTCTTATAGGATGGGCTCCAAGAAGAGAAACTGGAACCTTTATCCAGCTTGCCTGCGGGAGATGAGCCGTGTCTGTAGGCCAGGGACAGGCCGAGCTATACTCCTGACTCAGGACAAGAAATGCTTTGCCAAGGTGCTGTATGTTATCACAAAACCTCAGCCTGTGACAAATTTAGGACCTTTTTAACTAGACTTGGGGGTATTTGAGGATATATTTTCTCTTCTCCCAGTGTTTCTTACTAAGACCTCTGGGTGGTAGAGAAGCAGTTATCCGCTAATTACTTTCTTTTTGTGTATACACAGGCATTATCTGGAATGGGACACCTATGGCGGAAGGTGCATACCGTTTGGGTCAACATAGGGGGTCTTCATGCTGCAGTTTATCTCCTGAAACGTACATCTCAAAGTTTTGTTCATCCTTCAGAACAAGATGGAGGAAGATGTCCTTGGTAATACAAAGATCAAAAATGATTAATAATATCTGTGCTTCCTGACACTGAAAATATCAGGACAAAGAACTTGCTTTGAGAGAAAAAATAGTATTAATCAAAGATTTGGTATAAATCTCTTCACCATAGTTAGGAAAAGGTATACATGGAATGTCTTATAAGAAAGAAGAGCTTTTCTTTGGTGCTGTTTGAAAGGGGTAGTTGAGCAATTAGTACTTTTCTTAAAAGGCTTTAAAGATGCTAAGCCTACTAAAATGCCCCGGGATTTGGGTTTAGAACATTTTCAGGCTTTGTAACAGTTCCTGTTTTCCACTGTAGGTGGAAGGCTACTCTGGCCTCATGGCAAGAGGCATGCAGAGAGCATGAGGTTACATTTCATTGTCTGTGCAGCTTTGCTATTTAGTTGCTCAAGTTTTTTACCTAGGTTTCTAAAAATGAAGCATTATGCTTTGTAAAATAGTGTTTGTTCCATGACAAGCTAGATCTTATATAAGTCTTATATAAGACTTATAATTTACTATCTGCCTTAAAAGTTAGAACATCAGTGAATAAGATTAACACATTTAATCTGAAGATATTAGACAGTCCTATTTGTAAATAGCAGCAAATACAATGGTAGATGAAAGAAGGGACCAACAAGCCATATTTAAAGAAATTTTATTTTTTTCTTTCAATACATAAAGGTGAAGCTTTTCAAAATCAGACATAAGTCTGTCAAAGTGTTTTTGTTGGCTTCTCTGAAGGACTAGAGAACTGATGAATTAAAGACTTCACGCCAGTCCTTCTGTTTTCCTCAGTCACTGTGCGCCGTGCTTAGTCGCTCAGTCATGTCCGACTCTGTGACCCCATCGACCGTAGCCCTTCCAGGCTCCTCGCCCATGGGGATTCTCCAGGCAAGAATAAGAATACTAGAGTGGGTTGCCACACCCTCCTCCAGGGGATCTTCACGACCCAGGAATTGAACCAGTCTCCTGCATTGCAGGTGGACTCTTTACCAGCTGAGCTACTGTATTTGCTTTTCTAGTTGCAAAAAGTCCTTCCCAAAACAGTAGAAAATGAAATAACCTAAAAATTAAGTCTTGTGAAACCAGTGCTTCCCTGGAACAGATTAGATGTGGAGTTTTATGTGGGACTCTGTATTCAGTTTATTTTGGAGTTTCTGGCTACATTCAGCTTAGATTTTTCAGTACTATGTAGTTACATAACAGTGCTATTCATAATTAACTTCTGATGTCTCATCTAGAATAAAAGGACAGTATTTATTTCCTTTGAAAGAAAAGTTCAGATTAGCAGCATAATCCACAGTCCTTATATGGTTTCTCTTTGATATACCTCCCATTTGAGTTTGAATTGGAAATGAGACATTTAAAAGGGTCTTATATCCTAGACTGGAGTTTCTACCATCATCAGAATGCACAGCTGCACTATTATAGGTTCAACAAAAAATCTTTCACCTCTGACAAAATAAAACTGTTCAAACCTCTTAAAACTGTTGGTCCACAGGACTAATTAAAAACACGCCTGTTTTCTTTGCTGCTTACCAAGTGCCTGACGCACTTACCTACCAGCATGTACATTTAATATTTGTTGAACATATAGACATTTTTGCATATTGGCTGTTTCTGAGTATATCAAATTTGTGCTGGATCTATCATAGCTTTAATCCTATTAAATACCATTATAAAAACATGAACAGATTGGTTTAAGATGATATAAGTATGTAGTGAACACTGTAATAGTTTGTCATCTTCCTCCCTAGTATTGTTTTGTAATCTGGTGACAGGAACAGGAAATGTGCTACGAGAGGGATTCAGAAAAGCTGATGAGTTATATATGACACTGCCACCTACTAGTTGTGTGATCTTGGTTTTTAACTTTTGAAGTGGGCCTCCTGCACCAAGGTAATGTAAAAAGATGGGGAAGGTAATCTTAATAATCTGAACAAAAATTGACTTGAGATAATGGACCAGACATTCAATATATTTTAGAGGGGGGAGAGAAAAAACAGACATTGAGACAAATTTTTTAAGTTTAATGAAAGGAAAGGAAGATGGTTATCTCTCAGAGACTGACAATATACTAGTGGCTAGAGAGGGAAACATTTGTTTAAACATTTCTTTTCAAACTGTAGTAAGAGTTTTAGAAAATTTTAGATTCTTAACATACCAATGTCAGACATGGTTCAAGTCTGCACTACAAGGACTGCAGACTGAAAAAAAAGGAAGTATTTTAAAAGGTCTGTAAAATACCTAAAGTACATTAATGCCCACAAGTGCATATTATTAGTGAGTTAGGCAGAGAAAAGCCTTTTCCAAGTTCAGGTGAGGTGTTATGTAAGAATATAAAGTTTGAAAATTCTAGGACAAAAAATCAAATTATTGTACCTTGGTTACATTTTTAAGTTCAAGAGAAACTCTCCGGTACCAAATTTTAAATGTGCACAATGTGGAAAAAACTGTAAGAAGCTTGCTGTATCAACCCTCATACCTTTGTCCTAAGGCTAACACATATACCAATCAGTTATGAAGTAGCAACTGTTTAATTATATATTTCATGATGAAAGGAATTTTTACTGGAAAGGAGAATGGTGTTTTTGTTTTTCTCAAGCCCAAATTTTGAATTTCCGACTGTCTACTGTTACTTGCCCTTTTTCTGTATGTTCTACTTAAAACTCAACATGAACCTCTTTCCCCACTAAAACCTGCTCCCTGTCCTAACATGCCCATCCTCCTAGTAATCTACATTTAACTCTGGGAGCCACTGTAAACTACACTGACATATTTGACAGGTCTGAATGTTTATATATATACTATGCTATAGCAGGTTTCTTCTCAGGAACCCTTTACATTCTTAAAAATTCAGGGCCCCAAGTAGCTTTGTTTACCAGTATCTTACCATATTAGATTAAAACAAGAAAAAAGATTTCGGTAACAAATATGTAACATTAACATATTCATGGAAGAAACTATTTTCCACAAAGACTGGCATGGTTGTGTATTTTTGCAATTCAGCTCTCTTAAATCTCTGCCTTAATCTAAGAAGGCAGTACTAGAAGCTGGATTTTTATTTTCTACATTCAGTTGGTTGAAATGTTACTTACCTGCAATTTTGTTATTTTATGTATTGCCTATGTGGAAATTACTGGCTCGCCTTAGTTACAGAAATGTTCCAAGTGCTGGCCCAGCTTGTTACACAGTAGCTAAAACCATTAACATTAAAAACACTAAGTACTGAGAAGATGTCAAGCTCCTGGAAGTTTTCCAGAAGTTCTACTTTTCACTTCCAAATTTGAAATTTTATCACCGACAACTGCTGTCAGTTGTTTTCCCTGAAAAGCTCACCTCCATCATACTCAGAAAAATGTCTGCAAAACAGCCAACTCTGACAACAAAAATTTGACAGTCAAAAATTGGTGTTCTAAGAAAACAGGAGCTAATTCAGCCTGCAACCAGGGTACTTTAGCATGCAGCAGAAGCACCATATATAAACTTTCCATTTCATCACTTACGTTTTCGGCCCAGATTTAAATAATTTTACTATTTTCACAAGGACATCATTAAATGAAACTATGACCACTACACTGCAAATGGGTATCAGTAAAGAATGACTGCTAAAAAAAAAAAAAGAATGCTAGTTTGGTGCCACTGTATTATGCCAAATGCTGGCAGATTTAGCCACCTTTTGCTTTTCAACATTAGTGAAAATATCGGAATAAACTGAGATTTTAAAGTTATTCAACACTTTGTCTAAGGAAATGTGTATTCTGCGTCACATAGGACAGTCTGATGCTGTTACTGATAACTAAAAGCAAAATAACAAGCTCAGCCGTGTTTGTAGATTCATCCACTGTAAGGTGATAAGTGTATTTCTATGGATGAGGTTATTCACACACAACACACTTCATTCATGTCTGACCACAAATCTTACACTGCACTGTTAAAGAGTAGCACTACCATGATTTTCTATTTTTCATCCCACATATACTCAGGAGCATTAACTATCTGTAAAGTTTCTCTACTACCATGTATGTATGTTCCTTCAGCCAATGCCATATAGTAACTTGTCCTTTAATATACTTCAGTAGATTTTTATTATAAACAGTCTTTTAAGCCAATAATTCATTCTTAAATAAGAAAATTATAAATTGCTTTGAGTAAATTTATATTCTAAAATTGTAATTCAATATAACAGTTTCTAAGTTGTGAGAAAATATTTAAAACCTTATTTCACAACAAGACAACAGAATGTATTCATGTTCATGCTTAGGCACAAAGACTACAGGATATTATAACAACTGATAATACTGAGGTTTGCTGGACGTTTGAAGATATAACCTAAAGAGTGAGTTAACGTCTATAGATGCATTCATACTTAAACCTACCACCTTAGGAAATCATGGAAACTTGAAGAATATACAGCACCATTCAATTAACATCAGGGATGACATCATCACATATCATGTAGGCTCTATGCCCTTGTGAGAGAATAAGTTAAAAAGGTTAATGAGTTGAAAAGGTTAAGTTTCATTTTAGTATAGTTTGTCCCCTATATACAAATGAACTTTGTTCCGAGAGCACATTGGTGAGTCTAATTTGTTCGTAAGTATAACAAAGTTAGCCTAGGTACCTAACTAACAGTTGACTATATCGTACTATACTGTAACAGGTTTATAATACTTTTCACAGAAACATTAATACATAAACGTTTTTAATCATAATACAGGACCCTTTAAAGTACAGTAACACAGTATAACAGCTGGCATAAAGGGCTGGCATCGAGGGAACAGGCAAGAGTTACTGACTGGAGGCGGGAGAGGAGGTGGGATAGTACAGCGGAAGGTTATCGGCAATAGGAGATGGAAAGCAAGCTGTAATTTCCCTCGTACCTGACCTGGATGGCACAAGTTCTGTTTCCTTGCTGGATTCAATTCTATCTGAATAGCACAGATTCTGGTTTTTTGCTGGATTCAATTCTATCTACCCTCTTGAATACCTGATCCAGTGA